AGAGCCTGAATGGGGGAGACGGGAGACAGTGGGGGGCAGAGCCTGAATGGGGGAGACGGGAGACAGCGGGGGGCAGAGCCTGAATGGGGGAGACGGGAGACAGCGGGGGGCAGAGCCTGAATGCGTTCAGGGCGAGACTCGGCTGTTCTTCCGCGCTGACATTCCCGGGCGTCGCGCAGCTTGGCGTGGGCAGCTTTCGCACTTTCTGGGTACAGTTGTTCTGAGCCTTTTATTTTCCTCGCGATGACACCAGCTTATAGCACCGTCTGTGATTTAGGAAAGTAGATTCCCACCTCCTCGGGGTGGGGGAGTGCGCCCCGCCCCCCCCCCAGCCACCGAACAAGAGTTGAGTGTACCTCTGACCAGAGGCGACAAACTGGGGCGCGCTTGCCTCTCCCTGTCACCTCTGGGTCCCTCCCCCTCGGAAAGCAGACGCGGGGGCCGTTTAGTTTATCACGCAGGGTCTGGCTGGCAGTGCCAGTGTGGTGAAGCTGATGTTGCTGAATTCTTCGGAGGGGCGCGCTGACGCGGGGCGCTGCGGGGAGCAGGTGCTGCGACACCCAGAGGCGCCCTCCCGCCCGCGCTAGTGTGTGGGCCAGCGCCTGAGGGCTCAGGACCTGCGGTTTCTTCATCCGTCCATCACCCGTCCCTGAGGGGGACAGGAGCCAAGCCCTTCCCACCTCAAAGCAGCTGCAGGTTAGGTCAGTCTTTGGGCCGCAGGACCTGACCTGCCAGAGCGAGGTGGTCTCGCTCGTGCGTGGGGCCAAGTCCTGCGGCCAGACGTGAAAACGGTGTTGTTTTCTGATGCCCGTGGCACCCTGGACCCGGGAAGCTGCCCGTCTTTCGTGGCCTTCATTCACTGTGAAGGGTCACGCCTGAGAGCGAGGCTCAGAGAGCCGTTTCCAGTCGTATTTTTAGATAGCAGACACTGCACTGAGCGGCTTACGAGCGTCTGGTGCTCAGTAAATGCTAGTTTTTACTGGTACTTTGTTACTGAGCATGGCAGTGACTTAAAGACTTTCCTCTTCTGACTGAGGGCATCCATCCTGGCGGGAGGCAGAGGGGGGCTGGCTCCTGTCGCCGGGGGTGCCCTCTGGAGTGTGTAACCCACTGTTTCCTGTTCTCTAAGAGCGGGGGGGACCGGCTGACGGGGTCTGGACCTTCCACTCGGTGTCCCCATCCCCCTGTTCACTGACACCGTCTCTACAACACACACCGCACTTCTTCTCCTGCTCGGAGTGACCCTCTCGCTGTCCCGAGGGGACAGTAACTGAGAGGCGGCGTGCCCATGAGAGGAGCAGGAGAAGTCTGGGAGGGGCCAGCGAGCTTTTTAGAGTAGCCGCTTACAGGTGTTGAAAAACAGCCAGGTCACTGACTGGAACTGATTGTACTCCCAAGCTGGGACAGACTTGGCCTAGACCTGGGCACGGAGCTGGGTCAGGGTGCAGGAGCCCAGTGGAGGGGGACTCACAGGGGCCGCTGGGGAACAGGCCTAGCCTGGAGGCCTGCCGGGTGGGAGGGCAGGGGTGGGGGGCTCTCCTGGAGCAGTTTGCAGGACTGCAGAGAGGAGGCAGAGAGGATAGTGCAGTGAAGGGCGGGGCGGGCCCTGGGACTACCCGCGGCTGGGGCTGGGTGGGCTGGTGGGCAGCTCCAACTCCCGCGAGCCCCACCCGCGGCTTACTCTGGGGGAGGGAGAGCCCGGCCCGCCCCTCCCTGGCCCACCCCTGCCTGGCCCAGCCCGGCCCTGCCTGACCTGGCCTTGCCTGGCCTGTCCCTGCCTGGCCCTCCCTGGCCCGCCCCTGCCTG